AGTAATACTACTTGTTGTGGTTTTTTGCAGTGGAGCTTGGATAGTTTTGGGTTTTTTTCCCCTCCCCTCTTCAGGAAGAATTAGACATAACTGTATTTTATGATAACATATAATTTTGAATTAATTTTGTTCTTGTTTTGTTTTGTGTGCCTATTTTTCCTCTTTTGACCATTTTCTTAATTTACAAAGTGTGAACCTTTTCCAAGACCAGCTTTTACATTGCGCCTTCTTGTTTTGTTTGATAAGAACTTTTACATTTTTTAAATTTTCTTTTTGAACAACTTCATAGATCTAATTCTTTTGCATTTTCAGATCTTAAAGATATATATCTTCTGAAAATATTCATCATCCCCCTTTCTTTGGCCTCTCTTTTTAGTCTTTTCTTCTGTCTCCTATCTTCTTCTTAGGCCATGTTTGCCAGCTACGTCCCTGAAATCATAGAGTTAATAGGAAACCGCAAGAAATATGGTGGTTCCTATAGTGCGGTTAGTGGAAGAAAGTAAGTATCCCAAGAGGCTCTGCTGCCTCTGCTGCAGTAGAACACTCTCTGCATGCCATTTTCTTTTTTTTTTTTTTTGTGTTTTTGTTTCATGCATGTAGGCAATGTTTGCTCGCTACGTGCCAGAAATTGCTGCTCTCATCCTTAATCGGAAGAAATACGGCGGGACTTTTAACTCAACCCGAGGCAGAAAGTAAGTCAAAAAAGACCAGGTGTGGTTGTGTGACTTTAAAGAGCCCCTGAAGGTGGTAATCACTGACTCACAGCTTATAAGGCTGTATTCCTTGACATCAGATGTTACCACTGGAGAGTTGTCACACTATAATTAGAGACCTGGGCTATGCTATGGTACAAGTCACAGCATTTTGTCTCTACTTCTAGAGAACCTGGATACCACTAAGGCTACAGTGGCATATCTTTTAAAAAATACTACTATTGCATACGCAGTTGGCTTCTGGAACAAGGTTGGCTTGTCACTTCGCAGTTTTGAGCATCAGATTTTCATGTGGTCATCTCTGAACTAAAGTGACAATGTATCTTCACATGATTTTCAAACAACTCATTTCTTTAAAAAACGAGTTTACTGGAGTGCAAAATAGGAGATTTATGTTGATTGGGTTATTCTATTAGATTGACTATGTCAGAAGTCTGATAGTGCTGTTTCTCATTTTTCAAACAGCAGATTCAGGTCTCATGCAGCTCCTTTTGAATTCATATGAATATTGCAAGCAATCACAATTTTAGGATCTATGACCAGGGATTTTAAAGTGATTCTCTTCCACACACGGTATAAAGCCTATCCTAAGAAAAGCAAACGGTTGCCTTATTATCAATATAGTATAGGGAAAAAACCAAATCCATTAAAAATACTGGTTTTACCTGATAGCAAGAGTTAAATTTTATTGGACCATATTAACTCATTACATTTCTATTGAAAGCCTGCTTGTTTTCTTGATAAGTTAAACTCGGCTCTTTCTGGCGTTCCCAGTATCTAGACCTGCTGGGATATAGCTTTTCATTAACTTGATGTACTTGGTGTTTTAGTAGTTTCTCCTCTATATCACCTTTAGTGCTGCCATCTTTTATTTCATTACATATCCTTGTGACATTCACTGGTAGAGATATATTTACCCTAAAAGACTAGTCATATAGAATCCTTTCAATACAACATAAAGAAGGTACTGCAAGCAATGCTTCTAATTAATTGCATCTAATGCATCTAATTATAAGAAGATATGTTTTTTCTTTATTCCTTTCAAATCATCACCCATGTATCATTTTATAAATGCAGATTATGATTTTATCAAGTTATTTCTCCTCTCTGTGGAGCAAGAAGACTGTAAATGTCCCATAGAGCTAATTCTAGAGGACTGTTTTACATCACTGGATAAATACATCAAAGTTTTTTCTTTAGTTATAGCTTATACTATTCAATGTTGAATAATACTCAAGCAATTAGATGACACAATTGAAAACTCCAATACATTCATTTTTTGAGATACTCTCAAATGTCTAAAATTGTGGGTTTTTTTTCTGTAAACACTGATGTTGGAAATTTGCATCATAATTCGCTTATCCAGATGAACAGAATGCCTTAATTTACTTGTGAGATAGAGTAGTATCATTAATTTCTCAAAATGTTTATTTGTTACAGAGGACCACTCAGTTACATATTTGTATTCATACTTGGTTTCTAAAGAGAGATGTTTTTCAAGCACAGAACTTACACTCTGGTTTTGAGGCTCCAAAGGAGTTATAGCAAAGGCGAATATGGTTAAAAACTGGTTTACATACAGAGTTTTAGTCTATCTCCTTCTACATTGTCACTAGTACCCAGCATTGCTCAGATATCTCTAAGCTTAGACCTGATCTTCAGTCAGAACCCCACATCCTGAAAAGCTGAACTCCAGATTACTGGCTTCTGCTAGCTTTGGGGCGTGCTTAATTTTTTTTTTTCATCTTTTCTTTTTGCCTTTCTTTATATGCACTATTTGTTTGTTTTTAGCTCACACTGTTGTCAGTGCTTTCTCTGCTGATCTCTGCTGCCCATATAACTTGCTGTTTGAAACTCAGCTCTGTCATCAGCGTACAAAGTGTTTGATTTACTTTATGCATTGTTTTCTGGTTCAATTATTAATTACAAAGTAGTTTAAAGATGTCCTTTGCTTACATGGGTCTTTCATCAGAGAATCTAAGCTTGGGAACTGCACAGTAAAAAGCCATTAGCACTCCTTGTTTGATGTTGCTTTTGCAGTCAGTAGAACAAGATTGATGAAATGTTATGTTTGGCCAAAATTTAAGCTTTTATTTGGAATTCAGTGTTGAGAGAATGGGTTGTCAGAACCAATAAGTTTTCCTTTTCTTGGGATATGGGCATGTGGGAGTAATTAGCAGTATAAGGTCTTTAGTTGAGCAACCAAGCATAGATTCTGGCAGCAAACATAATGAGAAACTACAGTTGTTCTATTCCTAATGTCAGAAAGATTCCAGATAAAATTACATACATGTATAAAATGAAAGCAGCTAAATTTTGTTGAAAGATGTAGTTTCAGTTTTTAAAATAGCAAATGTGTATACTTTTTAACTTTCTCCAAAATACATAAATACACGGAATCCGGTTTGTAGCATTTATATATATGTTTATACATGTTGCCTCATGAACTATGTCTGTGGAATAACATGCTTCTATATTATTATTAAACATTTAAGTGGGAAGTTAAAATTAACATATGATTATGTATTTTTTGAGGATTGCGCTACATTGCCTTAATGCTAAGGAAAGCCTTGCTATAGAATTGTAACTATTGAAGCAGCTAAGAATGTATGCATAAAAATTATTTCTGCAAACTCCACTTACTGAAAAGAGAAACAACCAACACACCAGCAAGTTTGCTCTCACATTTCAATTTGCTTTTTAGCCAATAAAGTCCTCAAAGGACTCATAAACTATAATAGCAATCATTTTACGCAATAAAGAGGCTTACTTCTCTCTTAGATTAGACATATACATACAGAATTTGGAAACAGAAGTAGTTTGTAGGCAGTATGCAATTATCACTGGTTCAATTTACTAGATACTAGGTAGTTTTTTTACAAAAGTCCATAGGGAATTTTAAATTTAATTTATAATCTCTGCTTTGTAATATATTCCTGTAATGAGACTTCTAAGATCTCATAGAACACAAAGCAGGAATTTTATTATAATCTTTCATTGAATTTTCACCTGTTAAATAAACAACAGTACTTACTGTTGCATGTATAGCAAAATGCATACCAATATAATCTATACAAAACATGACCAAGGCTAAACATACACATTTAATGACGAGTAGGGTACTGACTTTGGCACAATTACAACCTAGTGTGAAAAAAATTAAGTAGTTACCGAAAAATGTAACAATCCTTGTCTTGAATTTCATATTTGTAAGCACTGGGATCTGCTCTATAGGTAATGAGATTACTGCTAAACAACTGTTTTGCAATTGTTTACATATCAGCTCATGAGAAGACTCTGTGATGTTTTTACTATGTGCCTTGATACACCAGATACACCAGATGGTTATTAGACAAGAAAAACTGACCTTACTTTAGTTATACTTAGAACAGACAAACAATTGCTCCTTGCTATAGTCACCACTAAATACAGATAATATAGCAGTTACAAAGAAGATAGTTGATATTAAATACATATATAAAACGAAGATGTAACTGGGAAATCAGACATGAGAAGCAATCAGAACTGAAAAAAAATATGATTTTCCTAATACCGCAAAGAAGTATCTTAGGATAACAGTGATGTGGCTTCCGATATTTTCCGCATCGAGTCGTACATAGTTTTTCTGTTCTTTCACATGAGCAATCCAGCCACTCCTGTTTCTCCTTCCTGTGCATTTCCCTGAATGAATTCTGTAGTAGATGATTTGATGTTTTGAGAAGTACTTTTTGCAAAGCACATTCTGCTGATTTCTATAGAAGTAGATGACAACGTAATTTTCTTTCCAACAGTTGCCATATTTTTGTTATTAGTAGACTAGTATCTACCTGACAGAGATTTTATGAGGTTTAATGGAGTCAAGTTTATCCTTTCTGAAGATGAGAAATGCTTTTAAAATGCAAAGTAGACAAATTTATAATGAAAGTTAATTGTTAATGGCTTCATCACCAAGCATTATGTCATCACACTGAAAAACATCTGCAATATTGATAGGACATATCTCACTAAAACATTGTTAAACTTACTAGATCTCGAATAAGTAATGAAAGCGTATGCTTGACAGAAGTTATGTTCGGGTCATTTCATAAAGTAAATTAGTGACAAACTAGTATCATTCTGAACAGGTAAAGTATTTTGTCATAACAAAATACTGGATACAAATACTGGAGATAACAGCTAGATTAACATGTAGTTGACTGGAGAAGGGAAAAATGTCTGACCTATTAATAACAGTATTATAAAAAAATATATAGATTAGACTTCATTTTAGAAAATAATATATAATTTTTTATGTAAAAGCAGGGAAATTTTTATACTTACTTTGTTCGTTTGACGTTTTTCATCAGTTACAAACCGAAATGATATATATAGCTTGAGTATTAATGATATTAACTCTTAGCCATTTTTCTTAATAATTTTGAGACCAGCAGCTGGTTCCCTGCACCCTATTTATATAGGCTCTTTTCTTTTTAAGGCTTTTGATTTGATTTACTGTGTTTAGGCTCTTTCTGTAACCTCTCTGTGGAACTCTTGAGTTAATATTCAGGGACTCGTTTTAAAGTGACATTTTTTAAGTGAAGTACCGTAGAAGAATGAAAAGGTATCTGCCACTCTATCACCATAGCTGATAGACTAATGTTTTTAGAATGTAGCAATAAGCCTACAGTTTAGTTCATGCATGCATACCTTTGGAAGGCTGGAAGGAGCAGTGATCACTGGCCTTGGAAGATTTTCCTGAAGTGCTCCAACTAACCTCTTAACTATACAGTTCAGGCTGTAAATCTTA